ACTGGCGGTTGACACCTATTAATTATGAATACCCGGCAGGACTGGTTGGCCTGACCTGACCTGACCCTGCCTACGTTCGCGGCTAGCAAAACACCAATACGGGCGAGGGCTAATGACATGAAGGTGCTTATGGTGTAAGTCTTTGTTTTTACTCCCATTGCTGAGGTTCAGTCCTATCGGTGCGTGTATTTCAGCAACCACCTACCGATTCATGTGCTTCACCAGGAACATTCACACAGAAACATAATCAGATGTTGATTTTTTTTTCAAGCAAACTTTGGACAATCATAAGAATTTACCAGATAAATGATGGGAATTTCGTAAACGATTCCTCCTCCTAACATGCCCATCATTGCTGGGACCCACAATTTTATGCCTCTTATTTGCGGTTAAATTCCAGGATTTCAATATCAGAGTCGGAGTCGTTAGGAGTCAACAGTTCTGACCCTGCAGACAGAGTCGGAATCGGAATCGATTTTGGAATCCGGACCAAGACTCGTAGTCTGAGTCACCGAAAATCCATTGACTGCGTGGACTTGCCATGGCTGCGGAGTCAGAGTCCGAGTCGATCGTGTAAGTCGACAGTTTTGCCCGGAGTCAGAGTTGAAATTGACTTTTGAAAGCCGTATAGTCGGAGTCGGAGTAACTCCATCGACTTCACAGCCCTGGCCTGGTAAGCACATCACCCGTCGTAAGCTAGTTCTCCTTACTTTTAGAGGCGGAACTATGCCATTATATGTCAGCAAGCATTTATAATGCATCGTAAAAGGTCTCACATAGGTTTAAGTGTCAATTTGTAAACCAGGGAACCATTTTCAACGGATCCGAGCAGCGCTGGGATTTAATTCGCGCTAAACTGGTGTTTGGCCACACTGTGCGCCGGCGCGCTGGCACGTGGGGTGACGGGTCCGCGGGAGCAGAGGGGGCTGCATGACTGGCCCGCATACACTGGCTCCCAGTGCCGAGCATTTACAGAGCACACAAAGTATTGCACGTAGCTTTAAACATGCAATCCACATTTAATTACATCATAAACTTTTAAGTCGACGCAAAACTGATTTTTACTCTCATTACATTCAGCGTTTTCCATTGATCTCATATTCATCCCGAAATCCCCGTGATTTCGAACCGGATGTCTGCTTTGATTGTTCTAAAGGATTTAGGATAATAAACATAACGTGATTATGGATGCGAACAGTCGTTTCAACCATGAGTGCAAAATGTATTATGCTAGACCTTACCATGTTTAAACATATGGGTCTAAACTCTAAAGAAAAGCTCCAAACTCAACAAATTGAAAGAAACATAGAGGCGGCATGAAAACCAATCGGTCTGCTGATTGAATGGGCATATTTGCACATTGCCCACTTGTTACCTTCCGGGGGCGTACAAACATAGGTACCAGATAAGGCAAGGATCGTTCCCTGCTGGCAGGTAGGTATAGGCATGTATTGATTGTGATTAAGGTCAGGGATGAAAGCAGGGATAGTTTGCCATACAATGGTGCCGTTAAACTTGAGCTGTGTTCAGTTGAAGCAAATAACTTATGCCACCTATTTCCTTTGCCGGTTTTCACGTCTCCATTTGCGAGGAGAAATTGTTTGTGTCCTAACGATAGGCTGTTGATAAGCTGTCAGAGTTAAATCTCTTCTATTAAACTCGGGAGACTAAGCACATTAAGTTGATTGTGTTGATGTGCAAAGTCAAATTAAATGAAGCAACTGGATATGGTATTGGCCAATAGGCGAAAAATTATTGCATTCTATTGTACGAATCTGTGGGTCACATCAGCTGTGGGATCCGCTAGCTTCATCGGTCAAAAGAAGAACGTGTATGCACTGCCTGCACAGTGCACACGGTTTGAAAGTCAGTCTTGGAGGCTGCTGGCAAACTCAAGGTGGCCTTGAAACATGACCCTGTTTGATAGACATTTTTGTTCATATGGTCTGCTTGAAAGATTTTGCGAACATTTAATTTAGCTTATCTTTTATTTTCCATCACTTAATTCTTTATTCGTTTTTCTTGTAAAATACGCTTAGCTCAAATGTCTTCGCATATCATCGTTTTAATTTAACCCGATTTGCTTCACCGAAAAAAGGTAACATAGGCCGATTTTTCTTCCACTTACTCCGATAGTCCGGCTTCCATGACTCGAGGTTAGCAGCACTCGCGGTTTGCCCATTTGTGAGGGTGCCGGTGGCAGGGAATTTTAGCCAGCGTCGCTGCCGCGCTTTTTATAACAGCCCGACCTGCCATCGCCAATGGATGATAAATACAAACGATCGTCCGGCGCCGGCAAAAAAGCGAAATTTCGCACTTATTGGTATTTTACTAATAGCTATTTCGGATATTTTAAAAGAAATTTTGGTTCGGTGTTTTGGATGGAAGGATTCACGAGGTCAGGGTCCGCGCTAAATAGACTTTGTTGCACAGGCCCTGACATCCACAGTCCGATCGAAATTCCGGGTTGTGAGAATTCATAATTGGCAAAGTGCAGCCTGCCAATCTAGTCGGACACGTCCGTGTCAGTCGCTGGTCATGGCTGGTATTTTAGCTGATATTTGCGCCGGTCTTCTCTACCCCCGGCCGTCCGACGCCACGCCGAAGGGTCGCTGGCCACCCACCGACTGTGCCGCCTCAGTCACCTGTGGCGCACCGCTCGGGAAGGAGCCGACAGAGAGCGGGCGGAGAGCGGGCGGAGAGCGGGCGGAGAGCGGTCCAGGTCGCAGTTAGTGGCTTGGAGCGACTGGAGCTGGAGCAGGACCGACCAGAGCACACAGGTCAGTGCGCCGTTTGGTTAAGGACTGATGAACATAAACGGTGTGACAGAGAAAGATATATCGCATGATTAGGTGTTTATCAACCAACCCGCATTGCGGTCGCAACGGGAGTTTGTTGGCGACAGGTTACCAGGGGTGTCGAAAAAGGACGCCATTTAATTGCGTCCCAGAAAAGCTATTTCTGGCACCTAAAAGCTGACTCGCCCCAAAATTGGTCCTCAGCACCTATTTGGTGGATACCAGCACCAATCATGGAAAATGACCTTAATTAGCTGTTTCTGGCACCTATTCATCGGTACGCCTTACTCTTTTTTCTGAATCTGGCACCTAAATGCTGAGCGTAGCACCAATCTAGTAGAAAAATGAACTACTGGCTGGTAGAATCATGTTGTTCTGGTATAATGACCCCTGGAGTCTAGCCTAAAGGTTGCCAGTGCAGCTACACTCTAAGACAGCCCCGTAGTGATCTCAGCATTGTATATGACGTTTAAGTAAGCAAATAATATTAATTTGTTTGAAAAACAATGTCATTTGAATATTTAAAAGTATTTATTTGTAATGCTTAAAGGGAAACATTTTTGTGAGTAATTGTCTCGATTTTTTTTTTGATATAGGAGCGTCTTGCTACGCTGCACCATAGCTGGCTAGTGATTCTCTTTTGGCTAGAAATGGCATTAATCATTATCCCCACTGGCGAAAATGGCACTTGACATCACCGAATGCAACGTTCATGTTGTTAGGATACATAAAATCAGGAAGATTACGCGAATTAGGTAGGCAAACGTGGAATAAAATAGGTGCTGGATGTTTTGGTTTTGGTGCTGAATCAGCAAACAGCAAATACGGAGTTCAACTAGACGATCTGGCAACTTTAGGCTGTGTGGAAGCAATTAGGTGCCAGATTCAGATATTAGGGTCGAATAAGCATTTTGGGGCTGATCAGCAATTAGGTGCCAGAAACAGCTTTTTAGGGACCAGAAACAAATATTCCCCGTCGAAAAATAGCAGTCTTGCGAGAAGCAAATAGCAAACGCATTGGTAAGTATAGCAAACGCATTGGTAAGTTACAAGAGAGCCGATTAATATTGCTTCGGCCATGTTACCGATACCTAAGCTTCAAACACCACCACAGGTCGCGGAGAAGGTTCCCGACTGTCACCCCGGCGACTTAGGCCGTGAGACGACGCGGCTCCAGCGCGCTCAAATCCATGTGTTTGTTGGCCGGGCTCGGTGGGCCGGGGGACGGGTGCGCCGTCTGAACAGCCCGCGGCGGCTGTGGGCGGCACTGTGCCTCTCCGACCGGCTCCGCTCTGAAGTGACAGGTCAGCAGCGATGTCCTCGACTGGCCCGGGGGCGTGGTGACGTGTCAGCTGTCTCTGGACAGCCGGAAATGACACCCTGCTGGGACGCAGAAAAAGACAGAGAAAACAACTCAGACGGCGACAGGGCAGACATAGGGGAGCGGAGATAGAGTAATATGTGTGCGCGTTTGTGTTTTGAGAGAGAGAGAGAGAGAGAGAGAGAGAGAGAGAGAGAGAGAGAGAGAGAGAGAGAGAGAGGGAGAGAGAGAGAGAGAGAGAGAGAGGGAGAGGGGGAGCACTTATTCACACGCATATCCATTATTGATACGAGTAAATATACCCTAGAATCAATACCCTCTAGCAAATCACGTACAACTCCTCACGGGGGGGGGGGGGGAGAATATGCTTGATTGTCTCATCCGTTCGCACACGATACAGGTAATCTGCTTACGATTATTGGCAGGAAAGCTATTAATGTGGCTGGACTTACCTTTACCTACTGCGACTCATGGGTGCTAGGCTGCAAGGTAACTCACGTGTGCGGCTTTAGAGCAGGTACCCAGCCGAAAGAAGAGCACCAGGAAAGGGCTTATATGTATTGCACACCTGGCTAGTTTGTGAACAGCAATGCATTTGGAGTCAGCAAACGTGTTCGGTTTTGAACTGGTCGGTAACTTTTTGCATAGCTTTCAAAGAGCACCCAACACGGTTCATTTGTTGACCGTGTCGATTAGCATACCTATATAAGTAACAATCGATAGAAATGATGGAGATGCTGAGCTAAAGACATGCAAGAACATTAGAAACATACTTTTCCCTGTTTCTTCAAAATCGCAGCCAACTGTTCAGCTACCGCTGCTGTAAGTGCCTCGCCAAGCCACGTGTTTTACAGCTGAATTAATAAGTTGCTGTTGAATTCACTCACTTTGAGTTGCAAAGTATGCTCTGATCATTACACATATTTTGTTCCTTTAAATATTTGCCCGCTTGTATCATGGTAGAAAACCGTTAATATCTATAGAGGTTATTCTTTTGTAAATGTTACTTAGAGAAACCGTTTGGATATAACTATGATCCGTTATCTCATATAATCCAAAGAAGGCAAGCAGTCAACGATGAGGTGCTTCATTGTTATGCTGGTCATTGCTCTATCAGAGAATATTGTACAGAGTATTTCTCTAATGAACAGCTCGGCTGCATACGGATTTCTTCAAGGTCGATCAATTTTTCAAGACGATGATTCAAAGGCAAAATTTGATGGCCTTATTCTAACGCCGAGAGATTATATGAAGCGGCGGAGACCAACGTTGCACGACGCCAGAATTCACTTGCGTGCTCCTAAAGTGCCAAAGATATTCAACTGCAAGGAGGGACTGCCACCACCGACTAAGGTTCAGTTATCTGTTCACGTTTCTGAAATAAGCTTGGTAACGAATGGCGCTGTGACAATGTCTGCATATTTACGCTACTCCTGGGAAGACTACCGTCTCGCACCGCCGGAGCAAAATATGCGCGGAGAATTCATAGAAATTGCTCCGACCGTAAAGGATTCTTTGTGGCTTCCAGACTTGTACATTCCCAATGCAGCAAGCGTTATAAGTCCCGTGATATTTGTGCCATCAACAAGTTTCAGAATGTACAGAAACTATACACTGTTTGCGAATCAGTACCTTCTTCTGAAGTTGTCATGCCCATTCAATTATGCCTTGTTCCCGATGGATGTGCAAATTTGTGATGTTGCCTTGCAAAGTTTTGGAAGAAACCCGTGCGAACTAAATCTAACGTGGGCAGACAATAATCCATTGTCTTACTCCACATCGACACTATCCCAGTTCTCTTACGAAATTCACCGTGCCTCCGCGAGAGCGCACAGCAGAACCTTCCACTCGGGTAGCAAGAGTCCGCTGGAGCGCGCGCAGGTGCACATGTACGTCATCCTGAAGCGGCAGATCATGTTCTACATGATGCAGATCTACATCCCGTCCATTCTGTTCGTGGTGGTGTCGTGGGTGTCGTTCCTGATCCCGGCCGAGATGGCTCAGGGCCGCATGCTGCTCACCATCACCACCATGCTCACCATGGTGTCGCTATTCGCCGCCGGCAGCGAGTACGTCCCCAAGGCCAGCTACGTCAAGGCCATCGACGTCTGGATGTGCGTCTGCACCTTCCTCTCCTTCTTCGCCGTCGTCAACTGTCTGGTGGATGTCCGCATGGAGAGCATGATCATGGGTAACATGAGGAAGAGGGCGGCGCCCACGTTTGTCCTCACCGGCCAGGCGCGCCGGCAGACGGTAGTCGAGATCTTCCGCAAGTACGCCATCGGAGCCAAAGCCAGGGAGCCCGGGGACGGTGAGCCTCAGCACTCGGCTGAGGACGAGGATGATCTCATGGGCAAGATCCTGCGGTTCTGCCACAAGATGCAACGAGGCGCGCTGTACGTTTACCCGATCGTGTTTATTTTGTTCAACATTGTCTACTGGACGGTGTGTTTCTCGCACATGGAAGGACCAACAGACTCGATCCACAAAGACGCACTGGATAGCGGGATCAAGGGCACTGAGGTACCCAGGTAATTGCGTCATAAATAAAGCGTTCCGATCTGCCAACTGCCAACAGATCCCAGAGTCAGATCAGTCAGATAGCTTGCGTTCAAAGCGTCCCTCATATCTGCCCAGATGTGTCGTGGCGAAATATATGTAGAAACCAAGAATTTTGCATGTGCAGCTAATAGATACTGGAGACGAATTTGTGGGTGCATGTATGTTTTGCAAACCATCAAACGGAGACTCCTAAGGATACCATTAAAGTGTTCAGATTCTTAGCGATGGTGGCACTTGCAAGTGGCACAGGAGTTATCTGTATTCCGACTGTTTCTATGGGTAGTTTGCGTCAGTGCTGTGCGTCGTGATCCGTTGAAAATCACGTTCCATTCAAATGATACAGTTCAGGCGTTGGTTACTGACTATTCACCCAACAGCCTTTCAGAGGCTTTTGACAAATGCGCACAAGTGCCCGATAAGCCCAACATGTCGGTGGCAAAAATGACGCTTCATTTTTCAAATGCCGTTTTACCGGCAGCCGGTGTATTCACGGATGCGGTAAAGCCCTTATCGAACTGTTTTGGCGGTCGGGTGTTTGGCCTGGTTGCTATGTTGCCGGCCCACATTTCGTGGATAATCGCTGCCCGTTCCGTGTGACGCTGGAGCAGCTGTCCTGTCGCTGTCCGCTCGGGTATTCCTGGTCAGTGTCTTAAGCTTTCAAACCACCGGGGCGCTGGCACCGTGTTCCACCTGCCTCCAGCGAGCGCGCCTTATCTGGGCTGGTGCGAACCTGCGCGAAAACATGCTCAAGATAATGCACCTGCCGCTCTGTCTTACTAAAAAGCGCCACCGGCCGCTTGTTTGCATAAGTAAGCGCCGTCGGCCGATCGACGCATCGGTGGGCGATCGGCGCCGGACTGGTGCCGGCAGCGACGGTATACGACCTGTGGCTGCGCCGCCGGCGGGCAGTGCGGAGCGCCGGGTACAGGGCGTTTACATACTTCGGGCTCGGACTGCCACTACCATTTTTGTGTGAAATATAAATAAATGGAATGCATAAAAGAATGCAGCATTGAAACCAATGAAAACTCTGAGGACGTACACACGTCACGAACGCTCATTTTCCAAGCAAGGCCTCAGCCACATCAGCTATGCTGCATTTGCCTGTGCGAAATCGTCTGCAAGGGTTTACAGTTGTATAAAAAGTAGCAGTCTGTCGATTTTATATCAATCGTTCCGAGACCTCCAAAAGCCAAGCTTTGGTAAGCCCGTGTAAGCCCAAGCACATTACTAGGCATTGGGCATTAATGGTGTAAGTATTAATTCTTCTTAGAATTCCCAGCCTTAGAGATTGTCACCGCTTTTGCACAGCACGTCTGCTAATCTGTATTTAAATGCAAGCTCCGTGTTTTATTTGAGGCCATTTCAAACTTTGACGTAGCCGTTAACGAAAAGAAAGAAGAAAACCAGTCCTCGTCGGCAGTCCACATAGGCATGCATAAATCTGCTGTCCTGCCCTTCTGCCCCAAGGTGGTGGCATATTATTGCGTTACCCAAGGTACGTTGAGTAACCTCCCAAAACCGGCAAGCATCGCTCACGCTCAGTTGGGCCCTCGGCCGAATGGAGTTCCTCTGTCGCCTCTGTCGACGGCACAAGTGCATTACGCGTCGAGCCATTCATTCGTTAGTCGTGTAGAGCGCCCTCCTCCCATTGCACATCGTGAGTCCATCTGTCAGCCGAGATGGCCGTCCGTGCTGCCCTGCCGGCCGGCCGGCTGTCCCCGGGGACCGCTGACCCCGTCCCCGTCCCCCGGCCCCCCGGCCCCTCCCCGCCGCCGCGCCGGCCGCCGCTGCTAATGCGGCGCCGGGAAGCCGGACAGTGGCGGGCGCGCTCCGTTCATCAGCCGACACAGCGCCTTCAGCGGCCGGCGCGGCTCGCCACTGACGGCTCGGCCTTAATGAGCCGGCCATACGCCGCCATCCTCACCCCTGCCCCCACCGCAGCGCCGCCTCCTCTTCCAGTTCGTTTTTTTCCTCCGCTTCCCCCAGCCAGCGGCCATCATTCTCCTGCCTCATTCCACCGCCTTCCACCAGCGGCAAACAACTAATTCAGGGCCCCTAAACTCCGGACACAAAGCAAGCTCGTGTTCACGTGTACCGCTATTCACAGCGCCCTCTCAGTCCACCCCATAGCTCGGTACTCTTCTCACATACGGCACACCAATCGGCCGAGCCCGGAAGATGTACCGGCGCCGTCGCCTCCCGAGTCGCTCGGTGGTGTTACATTCCCATTAGCCGGTCGATCTGCTCGCGGCGTGACCGCCGCTCGATTACCATACCAATCGGTGGTCAGTTATGGATGATATCGGTCCGTACGCGGAGCCCCGCCCCGCTGAGATGGCTGGAATGCCACAGATGACAGCTTAGTCAGGGTGGTCGTTTCGCACCGATCTTAACACGGGTGCACGACTCAATGTGGCTCTTGATAACGCAACGGACAACGTTTTACGAGAGTGTGAACTTCTAATTAGAACGACGCTAAGTGCTGGACCTTAACCGAGAAATGCACAGCTTCTCACAGGTGCAGAAAGAAAAATCACTCGTCATTGTACGGAGACCTTCGGTCGCACGGAGTCCTTCCGCAGTACGGAGTCCTCCCGTCACCACGCAGAGTCCTCCCGCCACGGTGGGAACTATGCGGCGGTCTACTTGTGTGCCGAACGAGCGGCGGTACCCAACGGTTCACCCGCCGCCGAGCGTCATATGATCACGCTGTCTTGTACTGCAGAGAGGTCAGTTACGGGTGACCAGTAAATTGGTCACGTCAGGGAGCACAGGCACTTAATGAGGTGTCGTTAAATGACATATGCTAGCTAGGGAAACATAATATTTCAGGGAAGCCTTTGTAAATGTCAAAAGGATATATGTGTTAGGTTTATCATTTTATGAGCGTATCCAACATTTGGGGCATTCCACGATAGATCGTACCACTTTTTTCCAATTTGACACCCTCATCTCTCGGAATTTGACGAAAATTGGTCTCAGGGGTAATCAGGGGCTCTGAATCCACCTGTAACAATTTCAGGCTTATCAGATAAGTATTTTTTGAGTTATGGTGTATAACATTTTTTGGATCTTGCTTTGCAGCGCTACGTTTGGCGGGCTGTAACTCTAAGACGGATTATTCAAATGCCAAATGTTATATAACATTGAACTTGCAATGAAACAGAGATTAATATGCATTTTTGAAATTTCGAAAAATACGCTATTTTTGATATATGACATATCGAGTTTTCTTTCATTTGTATTTTTTGGACTTTGGGACCAAAATTTTTTGAATTTTTATTTGTTTAAAAAATATTTGGCTCATTGTTAAGAAGTATGCAAAAAATTAGGAAGGTGTTCTTTCTAAAAATGTATTTATTTTACGTCACGATAACGGTTTCGAATAGTGATTTCGGGAGGGGAGCTTACAAATGGCGTGATAAAGCTGTCTAGTGACATCACGGGTTACTGAAATTTCAATTCAAGTCTGAGTCACCTGAAAAAAAGCGAAAAGAGGGTTCATTCAACCCTCTTTCCTATTAGCGCGAGGGTGAAAAAGGCTGTTTGGTTCTGACATTGTTTTGGACGCCAATGACCATAGCTGTCCGAGATGAAAGTTACAGGACGCATACATGGTGTCCTCCAGAGGTCTCACAACTTGTATGTCTAGGAATTTTTCAAGGTTACATGAGGTCAGGTCGGTCACGTGACATCCCTGTTATAAATCAATGGGGAAATATAAAAACTGTTATTTTGGCGCCGAGAATGATCTAAAACTATCCCACGTACATGGTATCGTGATTTCATGCACTCCTTGCAAAGTCCAATGCTTTACTTTTGCATTGTTAACCTTGCGTGACGTCATTTATGACGTCACTAGGGTCGTACGAGTTTTTCGTCAATAACTCCCGATCAAATGGAGCTAGAGAGTCGGGAAAGCCACCAATGAACTCGGGAAGACCTTCCGAATCGAATGATATGCCATATGATACCCTTTGCCCAGCTTCGTGACCTGAGGGGCTCTGACCTGACCTTGACCCGAGGTCAACTACTTAAGTTGACCTCACCCTAGCAAAAAGTATACCATTCGATGCACCTGAGCTAGGCGAACACAATGATGCGAAAATCGCGGCTCTGCGGCCATTTTTTGCGAAGTTATTTACTAAAAACCGAACCCGTAACTTGAGTCACGTGACCTGACCTCAGACGCTTCCGGTTAACCTGAGACCTTAAAATCGGGTACCAATCGCTGCGACTTGTAACGGCACACACGCTCGTTTTTTCCGCGAGGCTCTAGCTCTATTAGAAGCGAAACGGCGTGCTGGGGTCGTATCAACCCCTCCGAAACCCATTTTGTTTGCGCGAAAATGAGGAACTTATAGAAAGAACACCTTTCTAATTTTTTGCATGTCGATTTGCAATGACATGAAGATTATTTTGAAAAAATAAAAATGTGAAAAATTTTGGTCCCAAAAGTCATTAGAGGCAAATGAAAAAAGATTAAGGTTTTTGCTCAACAATGAAATTTTTTCTTTGGAATTTTTAAATAGTTATATTAATTTTTGATTCATCGCAAGCTTAGTGTTGTTTACTTTTTGTTGGTTGCTTAACCCGTTCTTGAGTTATAGGCCATCAAACTCACCGTTACATACCGAAGTTAAAAAATGTAATGCAATATAACTCAAAAAGTTTTGATCTGAGAAGTCTGATATTTTGCCAGGCGTCTTTGGGGCCTATGATTACCCCTAGGACCGATTTTCATTAAAATCTGAGAGATGAGGGTGACGGGCCTGGTACGATCTATCGTGGAATGCCCCATTTGCCAAGTCACAAGCGATTTATATCTGTTTCAAAACGCTGAAGCCACCTATTAAACATCTAAGAAGAATTAAAAATGAACATTATTCAGGTGGCTGTCGAGCGACTCAATCAGCAGCATTAGCCGCAGCCATGTGACCTGGGCCTAAAGCTTCAGGGTCTGATTTAGTAGGGCCTTTGGGCCTTTTTTCGCTTAGTGTGGGGTAGCCTAATTGAAATCTTAAATCATGAATCACATCACCAACGTGTCCCAAAGTGGGCTTCCGTTCTTTCCTTCCCATGCCCGAGCTAAAGATGTGCCGCC